CCGTAACTTTTATGTTACATTTTTTTAACATAAGTATTACGCTTTAAGTAAATTACTAACACTGTGGAAATGTAATGGAAAAGCATTCAATATTGATATTTTCATTCCTTAACCTCCTTACGTTACAAAACGAGATTTTTTCTTATTAAAATTAACTCGTTATCGTCTCTTTGATGTAAACGGGACCAAAAGGTAAGGTGGAATAGAAAAAATACAACGGAGTCATAAGGAAAGCTAAAAATAAAATTACTAAGTAAAGCTATATAGGTATAGTACCACAAACGAAAGTTTCGAAGGTTTACAAGGATTAGAGAAACCTTTGCGGCAACCCTTAAATTAACCCCTCAAGCTCAACTATTGACGATTAGCCCGGCTATTTTAAGTGGGAAGCTAGCTACCTATTTTATAAAACGGAAATATTTTAACCGATTTCAAAAAGGGGCAAGTTATCAATTCGCCCGATATTTTTATGTATGATATGAAGGATCAGTTACAGAATTTACTCATGAAAAGTATAATGCGTTAGTAGATAACCATAATAAATGGATGCCAATTATATGTAGTGTAATGGGAATAGCAAACAAACTAATGGGTCACCATATATATATACATATATGGTACTACGGATATCACTTTCGTGGAATCTCATGCCTATATACTAACTCTTAGTTGCCATACTTCTCAGAAACTGCTAACCGATTCTGATGAAATTTTATATATTTACTCGGTGGGTCTGAGAATAGGTTGTTATCTAGTTTTATACCCCTAAGTGATAAGGGTGGATGTCGATTTTTTTTTACAATATTTTAATATTTACCTTTTTATGATGTTACTATAAAAATAACTACTTTACCTACCTACCTACTACTCCTAAATTTTCACCCTTCTACTTACAATCCCAATTTTTTTATAGCGATAAACTTTAGATATATAGTAAAATAACGTTTACCAGGCCAGCTAGTATACTTTAAAATTAAACAGATTAAAAGTATACCTTTACTTAATTCACTTCCCATAAAGCACCAGGAGAGCAGAACCAAGTAGATGGTGTTAACAGCACCTATAATATATTAGACTAAACTACTAACAGTAAAATGATTATTTCCTCAGTACCCGCATTGGATCTATACCGTCCTTAGACCTACCTACTGCCAATCCGGGAGACGTTGCTTTTCCTCGCGAGTAATTGCGGCTTTGCTCTAATTTCCTCTGTCTGATCCTACCCCAAACTTTGTTGCCGGACAATCTTAACTTGTCTATAATCTGATTGTATATCATCCCTTTTATAAATACGTACTGTCCTATTGAGTAACTTAGTACATTATATTTGTGTTACTATTTCTTACTTTTATTATGTTATCTGAGCTTTAACTAATATTATTAACGCAAAAATTTGTAAGTATGGATGAATGGATGGATGTTTGTTAGTATTTCACGCAAAAACTACTAAATGGATTTTGACGAAACTTTACAGTAATATAGCTTATACGTTACTATAACATACAGACTATCATTTTAAAAAGTTAGTATGTAAATATATATAGTTATGAACGTACGAAACAGCCGATGATAATAATATGTGCGTGAGGTCAGATCAGTTCACGAATAAAGCATTAAACAATACATATACAATAAATACATATACAAATACTACAGCATATCTTCAAGGCAGCTCAATAATGAATAGAGTTGGTAAATAGACTGAAAGGTTTGGTAAAAAGGACCCAGGAGACGTCTTCTTAACAAAAGTTAACCAACATTTTTGGGTAATAGGAGTTTTATTCTTTACCTACATTGGTATTTTGTGGAAACATACTCAATAGCAATGTTTATTTAATAAACTACGCAGGTATTTTATTGATTAGCGAACAAAATGTAATAATTGCTGTTCGTTTGATTTAATAAGTCAATGATTTACGTACGTGTCAGTACAGCCTCCTTAAAAATAAGCAATACGTGTTAGATTATGTAACATTATTTTGTTTTACAAAACTTCGGGAGAATTAATCTTTATTTTAATTACATTATTTAAAGAAATCAGCTCTACTTATCTACTAGAAACATGTGCTCTTAGGTAGATCTTACTCATCTTTCACAATGAAACTAACACCTTATTTGAATTTGCAAGTTGTGACTCAAATAGATACGAAACATGGTTTTAAGACTGCTTTCAGACATATCTCCGATAGGGGAATCTAAATAGGTTAGAGAGAATCACCCCATTCAATTAACGTGCACTGGAACAATGTGCGTGACTGGGATATATATGAGTTAGATTTAAAGCTGCTCCAATAACATTTGGTCCCTTCAAATCTCAGAGACTGTTCTAATGTCACCCTGAAGGCGTCTATATACAAAACGAGTGCGCTAAAGTTATTATGTTGAAGATACCCTTTCATGTTAAAGATAATATAAACTGACAAATCCTATTTCCCTCGCAAGATAATAAATGGAGACGGGAATTTCGCGGATTGTCCATTATTTTACCATTTCAGTGGGGTGCGTTCCTCTATTTCCTAATGATAGACTGCCCTACAAAGCTGGGGATTTCCGTTATCCTTAGCCCTCTGCGCATGTCATACTGAGTAGATAGATACCTGGGAATACGAATTAGTGCTTTGAAAGCAGCATTCTTAAGGTAGGAAATAGAACTTTTATACCTATTTATACAGTGATAGAATAATAAATGACCTAAAGGATTCTGTATAAAGGGGTTGTAATGGCCACATTATAACATAGCTTTCGAAATGAATTGTTATTCATAGTTTGCCTCTATTTAAGTAATTTAGAGAAGTACTTTTTAAATATTAATAAATCAGGACTAAAGTTGATTATCCGTTTATGTCTCATATACTTATGCATGTTTCGGGTAGGGTAGGATAAAAGCTAATTTTAATCCCGATATGGAAAGATTGATTTCAACGAATTGAATTTCATAGCTGCCAAGAGATAACAAAAAAAAATTGTGTTATTGGTAAACCTTATAGTACTATACGTATAGTATAGTACCATAAGCCTTACCAGGTTCATTATGATCGTCACAAGCCAAGCGAATTGGTAGCTATAATTTTATTTCTTGATTTAATGTCTGTTTATAATACCTTCATGTGATATCTGGGTATGAAATTGAGAACTAATACATTGTTTTTTCACCACCTCATAACACAGGGAAGTAGTTCCACTACTGGCTACTAATCCCTCGATCGTTTCGATCGATGTTTTTAGTCTATACTTAGTTTTGCTATACAAATATGAACAATAAACAAGGCGTTCTAAGGGAATAAATCGATTGCAGCTTAAGCGGAGTATATCCACGCAGTAAAATTCATTCTATTTTTCTTCAGAAACCTTAAGTCGCCATAGCAACACTTTCCATAGAAATTTTGCCGTAAATAAAACGTTTTATAATGTCCTGCATTTGTTCATACAAATGAGCTATAGATAGGTCCTATCTTCGGTGTAAATCGAATTTTTACTTATATGCAATTCTAAAACAAACTTGTTTAAAGAAAATCTGACTAAGTTGCCGTATCCTATGGATAAAATTTGATCTACTTTAATTAGTTATTGTAGAAATTTTTCATATATTTGTATGGATGGGCCGTCGACGTATGTCAAAAGACTGACTTCAAGTAAAGACTTTGTACGTGGATACCTCTTTCTCGCCTATTTCAGCCACCACGCAGCTTTGTAATATGTTTCAGATCAAACGAAGTGAGATTACAGGGTACGGAAGCAGACAATGACTCAGAGTCAACAAACCATTTTTTAAGACGTAAACTTAGTATGAAGAAAAGTCCTTTGTTGTAGTTGAGGCCTTTTATTAAATATTTAGTACTATACGAAATGCAACAAAATTATTACTTGTATATATTTGATAAGATTGTACCTATCCTTACTTTTAATATTGAATGAGGTCGCGTAGGACACATAGGACTTTCATAATCAAATTAATTGGTGCCATAATAGGCATTTTACAGTAGATAATTAATATTAATTATAATAATATATATACTTTATATAGGGCTCCATCCAAAATAAGAAACTACAGAATAATTTCCTAAAAATTATTAAAAGAACGTAAACGAATGTGTATGCGAGTACAGAGATTGAGAATTGTTGTTTATAAATAAATGGTTGTTTTATAAATAAATAGCTCTTCCCGCGACTTCGTTCGCGTGGAATGGTGACCTTGGATGGCATTTTTAATTATATAGGCTAATTATAAAAAAACCAAAGAAAAAATGTTTCGAAAAATGTTGACGAATATCCATACAAATTTCCTTACTTACTTTATTTAAAACCCTTAAAGGTAATTTTTTTACAAACTTTCAATGTTATATTTAATCAACAGTATAAAAAATAAGATTAAAACTTCTAGCTTTAGAACGATATTTCCATACAAGCTTATATCTCTTCTCTCAACAACTTTACAACACTTTCTCCGCATTAAAAAGTAGACTATGCCCTTTCTCAAAGTCTAAACTATCTGCGTACCAAATTTCGTTTAAATCGGTTTTGAGTATTTGTGGCCTGAAAGCGCGACAGACAGACAGAGTTACTTTCGCATTTATAATATTAGTAAGGAAGTAAGTATTAGATTAATTAAAAACTACATGAAAAGGAAAAAAAGTTGTAGCGCTCTACATACTTTTAAAAACGTAAATTTTATAAAAACTCACATAGGACTCGCGCGCTCCTTTCCACTTGGTTGGACTTCTAATATGACTCGCGCTTCGTTCCGCTATTGCAACGAGTGATTGCACACTCATGCATGCTATTTTCAACTCGAATTTAATTTGCAAAAACTTTTTACTGCGACTCATTTGGTGGTTAAATTCATTTCTGGTTTGCTACAATCATACTAATATATGTAGATACAGACATATTCTCATTGGGATAGGCAGAAACGTTTCCTTGTTTGTAATAATAAGTAACAAGAACGATTATTTTTATACTGGCCGTCGTATTATACTAATTAAAAAACAAACAATCATGGATCTGTCACGTTCAGCCAAAATTATCAGAATGAGTTCAAAATTAATATTTCTGCCATGAATATATAAATAACAAACGTTGTATTTAACAACACTACATAATAAGGTGTAAGGTTTTTTAAAAATCAGCAGTATGAACGATTTTAACAATTTCGAAAAAACAATAGTGCGTGAACTGTCATGTCGTTTGTGTTTGTGCAATGACGTTGTGAAACTCAAGCCGCTTAACACAGAAGTGAGACGGAAAATCAAGAGGCTCTTCGATGTCATTGTAATATCTTTTGATATATACCTAATAATTTACAGATAAAATGTTAAATAACAATTAAGTCCCAAATCTTAAACAGTTTAAATTGAACAAGTTTACACAAACCAAGTTTACTTTATACCCTTATATATTTTTCTTCACAACATCAGAAGAAACCAAACCTAATGTTATATTTTAGAATTAATAACAAAAAGCCCATCGAGAAGAAGTGGCGACAATGGTTTCTAGAAGGGAAGGCGTAGAAGTCAACCTGACATAGAACTTTAGTAGAAATGTGGCCACTCGTTTTCATTACTACCAATGTCCCAAACTAAATACTTGTACACCTCTGTTAGAACTAAACTTTTTATAATATGTCTGTAACACTCGAAAGTATTTATCGTTATAAATCTAAATTAGCCTTTCAACTGTTAGTTATCAAAATGAAATTACGCTCCACCTGTGAGACCAATTATAGGACTTCTCACAGATGGGGCAATAGTGCCCGAGTCCAAGAATTGGCTCCTTCGCAGATGAGAGGTTAGCATAGCGATACTTATACAAAAAAAATATTGCTATATACAATTAACACCCACAGGTGCGCGCAGATGATAACCTTCCAAAAGCAATATGCCACGAGTGTCTACAACAAGTAGGCGCGATGCATCTCTATGCCGTCAAGGTTGAGAAAACACAAAAATTCCTAGATTTTCACAAACTGAAAATCATTGAAGAAAATCGTGACCACCATCCAAATGAAAATAGTATGCAACCTACCATAGCAAGACAATCGACCCATAAACTTACAGATATATGTAAAAAAGCAACAAATGTTACAAAATCGTCCCCCACAGAGTTCCAACAAAGTGACGCTAAGGCAACGAAACCGAAGATTCCAAAGAAAAAATCCCCATCGGATATGAAATTCATGGAGGCTATGCCTCTAGAAGAATTTGCAAAAACAGAAAGAGTAGATAAATCTTTACTAAATAGCACCTCATCAGCTAATAAGTCAGTTGTACAGAATTTTATTACAAAAGAAGCAAGTAAAAAAAAGACTACTTTACTAGAATCAACAGATTTAGTGAACGACTCCTTAGATTCCATAGTTCTAATAGATGGCAAACCCGAAAAGCAAGGAGCGGCACTTGATAAACAAATTACACTATTTTACCAAATGCAATGTTGTATCTGCCACGAGAAAGGTTTTCATTTCAGATCTTTGATGAAGCATTATAAAGATAGACACGGCGTACCTGGCTATGTTACTTGTTGCGAGAAAAAATTCCATTACTTCTATCCGAAGAAGATTATCGAGCACATGGCGTTCCACCTTCAACCAAACATATTCATGTAAGATATTTCGTGTATTGTTTTATGTATTTAGAATAACAGACAAACTGACAGCCTGGCCGATAGTAAGTGGTAACTGTCGCCTATTTACATAAAAAGTATCACGAACATCACATCGAGATGTGACATGTTGCATCACTAATCATTCTGAAGGACTAAGATGTCATGTTTACATACCTGTAATATATATCCTTATCTCACCCTTGAACTAAGCTAAGATAGGTAAGACAGAAATAATAATAATATCTCAGGACAATTCTCACGGCGCCATTTAATCCCAACTCACGCATACGACTTTTTACATAGTTTATAGGTTTGTGAAAAACAATTTATATAATTCACATTTTGGTAAGCGCAATTTATCATAAGAACCACAAAGACGGTAAATATACCATTTAGATAATGCTTTAGTACCACAATTTATTTTATAGTACCTACTTCTAGTACGAGAAAGGGAAAGCATTGCATATGTAGTATCCATGTTATTATCTATCATTCGACGGCGTATTTATATTCCGCCGTCCTTAGTGGTCCAGTACTTTAGCACACCGCTTAACTTTCGATGGTCGCAGGTTCGATCTCTCACATTTGTATTAATGTGTATGATTGTTTGTATCAGTCTGGGTGTTTTCTGTGTATAATGTCTGTATTTACAAAAAAAAATCTAAGGATTTATATCATTTGTCAAGTGCCCATAACGCAAGCTCGTGGGGCTTAATTTATTCAAGATTATTTATTATTATTATGTTAGTAGTATAAAAAACAAATTGTAATTATTTATTTTGGTTTTGTAAATTTCAAATCTAAAGATATAAACGTGACTAGAACATTATAATCGAGTCACGATAACATATATTCTAAACAAATATAGTTGTCAACTTATTACCAAATTAGTTTGTATTTACTACAATTCTTTTCTTACTGTTACAGGTGTCCTAGTTGCCATCAAAACTTTCAAACATCTCAAGAACTCGTTGAACACCAGAGTAATGGAGGACGATCAGAAGGCAAGATAATCTGTCCGCGGTGTTCCGAGCGCTTCCCAACCTACCACGAGCTGGGCTGGCATGTTATAACACACCGTACGGACAAACAGCAATGTGATTATTGTGGCAAAATGTAAGTGCAGAAAATTATACTCAATGCGTTATGATGAGCAACAAGCGGCACGTTAAACATGTTTACGCGGCTAAGCATTTCTATAGTAATAATTTATTTTTCTATTCATTACTGAAAAATTTTTTTGTGACGAGTTGCTCACTTGTCGAACATTGCCCTTTTGTTCAAACATACAATATTAATGCATTAAAATTTGTACAGGAAATCTTTACTTTATTTTATATTGTTTTGTAATGTTTATTATGAATAAAGTTTTGTACTTTATACGTATTACTCTATATGCGGGCCGCCAAAAATTTTAACATTAAATTGACTCGGATTAAAAAGCTGTTCTTCCCTGCGTTATGGCATGGTGCGTGTGATAGGAATGCAAGTTACTAAAATATTTACGAAGATTTTTATGTACAACAAATTAGTTACAGGAAATAATCAGTTGATAGTTATGATATTAAATTTACAGTCATACAGTAACTCTTGCTGAAGATCTAAGAATAATCTAAATACATTGAAATGTTGAATGGTATATGTCACATGCACCATGCCACAGCGTACGGAGTGTAGTTTTTATATAAACGAATTGAGAAATATGGACCACTACGGATATCACGACTTTACAAACGAAGGATAATTCTTAGCATATTTTCACCTGACAATAGAACTGACACCAGTAACATCAAGGATTTTTTAAGTTATACAACACTCATTTTGTTTTTGGACCCCATTAACAGAGTAAAAAACAAGTAATAAAATTTCAAACTTTTTTATATATCATTATCTTGTTTTGTATCTCTGATCCATTCTTAAGTGTTCCCATACGTTATGTACATAACTATAATGTATAATTTCATAATTTCTAACAGAAAATTTTTATTACATATTTGTCTTTTTATTGAAGGTTGAAACACCACCATCGCAAGAAAACTGTGAATCACATGGAAGACGTCATACTATGTTCACAATGTGTTCGAACATTAAAAAATATAGAAAAACAAGAAAAAGATATTGTAAGTCGAAACCAACTTACTGTGCTGCAATTTACTCTTATACCAACAACGGAATATTACATATTTTTTATTCTTTATTTCAGAAAGAAAAAGTAAAAGCAAAGAGCAACGACGCCATTACATTGCAAAAGTATCAGAAATTTAGGCTGGCTATGGGACTATCAGGCGAAGAGGAAGCATCAACAGATTGATATTAAAGATATAAAAAATAGTAATACATAAGTAAACCTTCTATTAATATGGTTAAAAATATAAGTCTACAATATAATAGTATATCTACAATAAAACTACTTACTTCAAATCACATGAATTTATATTTGAGACTTAATTTAAGACATTCTAAATTTAAATTTTACTTAATCTAACCTTCGTTTCTTGACTAGAGATCCCAATAAATCAGAGATGGCGGGAAGATTATTAGTCTGGTCATTGGCGCCCGTGTTTAAGTTTGACAAGGGTATATTCAATTGATTGGTTGAAGTCTTTTGTTGTCCCTTCATGTTCCGATGTTGAGGAAAACTGGGCATAAGTTTAGGGTCACATGCTGTAAAAAATAAAATGTTCTATTACACACTTGAATATATTCCTGACACATACTTTAAGATTAAAAATAGCTTCTCAAGATTACCAACCCATAAGCGATATTATTTGTGTGCATTCAATAGCATTTACAATACTATAGGCAAGTTATCACTTTTCCAGAGAGTCTGTCTCTGTTAATATAATTTGGACTGGCAATGAAGCCAGTCCAAATTATATTAAAAAAACACATTTATTGCAATTCTTATACTTACGTAAAGGTTGTTCCTTGAAATATGAACTCTGCAGACATTCCTCAGCCGTGGCTCGTTTGTTAGGGTCGTACATGAACAGGAAATTAAGAAGCCGAAGCCCCGCAGCAGAGAGCCATGGGAACCGTTGCTTTAAGTTATTGTATGGTTGTTGCTTCAATGTGAAGTTTTGTAGGGCCGGCAGGGCGCTGAATTCCGGCCATATTGCGTCAGATGGAGTCCCTGTAATAAATAACATAAGTTGTAGTATCGTGTAGTTGTTGTTTGAGAAACAAAGATATTATTTATTGCTGTATGACGCTGATAATATTTAGTCATAAATTATGAGTGAATGAATGTTATACATAATATTTTTTTAAGTTCTAAGTTTTTTTTTCAAGTAATAATATTCACAGTTAATAATACAAAACATTATATATTATTTATTGTTTTTAAGAAATTCGCTCACCAAGTAAATCTACAATGAGCTCCAGCTGTTCTATTTCCGTCCTACCGGGCAACAAAGGCTTATTGGCGAGCAGTTCACCGAGAATGCAGCCAGCGGCCCACATGTCGAGGGCTGGCGTCTGCCGTGGCGCCTGTAAAAGCAGCTCGGGCGCGCGGTACCAGAGCGTCACCACGCGCGGGGTCGCGGACCGCGCCGCCACGCCCAACCATCTGGCCAGCCCGAAGTCCGCTGCAACAGTCAAGAATAATAATAATAACCCTGGACAATCTACACACAGTTCCAAGCTAAGCGGAACTTATTAATTATTGTTTAAGCAAGAATAATCTTAGTGCAAATACTACATGCAGGAGTAATACATGCAGTATATCTATGAATACACTGCATATAACATCCTATTGTACTGATCCAGATGACAAAGTTCAGAATTCAGTATCCAATATTTCCACAGGCGCATGCTTTACTTCAAAAACATAACATATGTATTTAAAAAGTATGTGCTTAACAATATCAGATTTTAATTACTTTTTAATGTTAGATGTCAAGTTTATATTTAAATGGATTTTAAGTACATAAGATAAATTTTAAGTATTATACACTTTATAATAAAAATGATTATCACCTATTTTGACGCATCCTTTGTCAGTGAGCAATAAGTTGGATACTTTCAGATCTCTATGTACAATGAAATTTGAATGGAGATATTTAAGGCCCTTCAACACTTGGAGCATGAGGCACTTCACTTGCGACTCAGTAAATGGTGATGACATGTTATCCAAGAGTGATGCCAGATCCTGCTCACAATATTCCATTGACAAAAAAATACTGAAATAAATTATTAATGGCATAAATAACATGAGATACAAGTTTTAAAATCAGTAAATTATAAGGTTAAGTTTTTATTTATACTTAATAAATGCATTTATATAAAGGTGTCATTTATACCCTACCATTACCATAGTTTCTAAATTGAGATTACATTGAAATCAACCTACTATTGTATATCATTATTTAAGACTAGCTGTGCCCACAATTTCAACCATGTGAAAGTTTTAGCTTATATGTTATTGTAATGTATAATCTACAATACTGTAAAGTTTCATCAAATTCCATTCAGTAGTTTTTGCGTGAAAGAGTAATGAACATCCATCCATAATCACAAACTTTCACATTTATAATATTAGTAAGATATATCTGATAGATCTATAGTGCATGTACATCAATGTAGATGAATACATTTGTGTCATATTTTTTTTTCAATCAACTATATTAAATAAAAACACAATTTATATTGACTCTATCATGTTCAAAGCCATGCTGACTCTTGAACATTTTGTGTAATTATTTGTTAGTGATAAGGCAATACTAATAAAATAATAAAATTTGAAAATACATATTGGCAAAATAATAAAAAAAAATTGAATAAAAAACCAAATGAGGTGTTGTTAGTTTGAAGAAATGATTACTTAGATCTGTTGATTTGTGTCCCATTTGTGTACTATAAACACATAACATTTTAATATAATATAAATACAATTAGACATGTTTGAGTTACCTTTCTAAAGACCGACCAACAAGTACCTCCTTCAATTGGACAACATTTTCATGCATACAAGACATGAGCACCTGTATCTCACGAAGGCCACTTAATGGAAGACCATCTTTCTCCACATCCATTCTTACCTTCTTCAGTGCCACAATATTTCCACTTAGCTTATCTTTTGCTCTATCTACAAAACAAAACATTCAACATACAGTTACAAACTAATACAATTTTTTCAAATTAAAATATTATGTAAACAAAATATATAAATTTAAAAATGTAAGTATATTGGATCTAAATATAATTTTCAAGTTTACCACTATACCATAGATGTACAAGATTATGATACTCACATACAATTCCATATGTACCTTCACCTATGCGGTTTAGTTTTTCAAATTCTCCAACAAACCTACATCGACCAAGCTGAAACAGAATTGAATGTACCTGTATTGATATAACTTAATTGATTGGCAATTTTATTTCAATAAGCATTACAATTTTAACTATGAATTATTTTATTTATTCTCTTGCTTATATTGGTATAGGTTATGTTTAATTACAATGTCTTTTTCGGGTATTTCCATCGTTTTGCCTGTTCGGAAAGATATGAGCACGCCCTTGCGCCCTGTAGGGCCTGTTGGATCAGCGGCATCCTGAGTAGATGGTTTCTCAGAATCTAAAACAATGATGCGGTGTATGGTTAAGATATTGATATTTCAAAATTTAACGATGTAACAGCCAAGATAATCTTACTTTGCGACATATTTGGAACTATGTTAAGAATACTTTAAACCATGTATTCTTTTCAAATTTAATAAAAACAATTTTTTATTATTTCCAAAAACACTCGCGACACTAAAACAGAAACAATAATAACATAGCACAGATTAGTTCACACGGTGCATTTAACTTTACTCTTTGATTTAATCTGTGCTTGCTATTTAATCTTGTTCATACTTATGTTTCGTGTATCCAGCACAGAGTAGTTTTTATTTTATCCTTCTTCGTACTATGTTTTTTTCAGAAAGCAAGCAATAAAATAAATTTCTAATGTATACTATTTTAACAGTTTCGGCCTGCTGCTTGTTTTCTTCGGTTACAATATGACATGGTGCAATTTTCTCGAGTTTTGTCAAATTTGGGTCAGTCAAACAAAACTATTCAAATTGATATCTCAGATTTCTCACACCATCTGTCAAATTTGAAAGATACCAATTGCTATCAATCAATGTTAAAATTTTTGTCTTTATTAATGTTTTTAGGAAAAAAAGGCGGGAAACATAGAATTTGGTGGTCGTGTTTTTTTGATAAGATTTAAATAAAAATTTAATAGTGATCAGTTAAGTTAGATATTGTAGATATTTTCACTCTTATATATATATTTTATTTGTTTATTAGTGTAATTATAGTAGCTGTAACATAGGTAAGTCATAATTATTTAATTTATATATGGACCCTCCTGAGGATCCTGGGGGCACAGGCCCTCAGGTGGGCCTCCACGTAACTATTAGCAATAATGAAAATGATTCCATGGATACTGATTGCTCTTTTACCCTAGTGGAGAATTTGAAAGTTAAACGAAAACGTATATCTGCTACTCATGTGTGTAAACACTGTAACAAAAAGCGAAGAAGAAATCGCGGTTCTAAAGGAAACTCTAAAAATCAAGAGAACACTTGTCAATGCGCTGTTGTAAATGAAGGTGATCAACCTTCTTCTAATACATGTACAAATATAGAGGATAATGAGAATAAGGTCGAGCAACCTCCTGTGACATGTGCAAATAATGAGGATAAAATGGATAATGCTGGTTCAAGTCAGTTACGACCATCAGTAGCTAGGCTTTATTATCAATCAGGTGATGCGGCACCTTATGTAGTCCATATCCAAAAGGAGCAGTCTTCGCCGGATGACAGAATTACTGTACACCCAATTGCCTTTGGTCGCCTCTTAAAAAATTGTGCTTATAAAAATGTTATTAATGGTAGTTTGAAAAAAATTGGTAGGAATAGATTAGCTTTGTCATTCTCTAATTTTATTGATGCCAATTCCTTCATTGACTGTGACCGTTTAAAACAACAGAACTATAAAGCATTTGTCCCCTCTTTTAATCTTACTAGAATAGGAATTATTAAGGGTGTTCCCTCAAACTGGTCCCCTGAAGAGGTAATAAGTAACATTTCTGTCCCACTTGGCTGTGGAGAAATACTTAAAGTTAGAAGGATTAGACGTAAGAATATTATTAATGGTGAATCCATATTTGTTGACACAGAAACTGTTATTATAACTTTTGATGGTCAAATACTTCCTAAACGTGTATTTATGTGTTACAACTCATTACCTGTAGATATTTACATATACCCAACAATACAATGTTATAACTGTTGTCGATATGGTCATGTTAAGGATCAATGCCGTTCTACACCACGGTGCTATAAATGTAGTAAAGGACATTCAGGTGAAAACTGTACGCAGCAAGAAGACTTCTGCTGCTGTCTATGTCTTGGTGATCATCAAGCTAACAGTAAAAACTGCCCGGAACTATGGAGACAAAAAGCAATAAAAGAAACTATGGCTAAAAGCTGTATATCTTATGCAGAAGCCAGCAAATTGCATGGTCCTGTAACAAAATCATATGCTGACACAGTTAAAACTAATTCTTCTATCATAACTGCGGAACATTTAAATAATACTAAACCCCAAAATACTCTATCTTCTAATATAATCAATAGATCATATAAAAAAACCATTGTACAAAAACCCCGTCAATCTCCAAAATTATCACATGGTTATGATGTAAACATGCATAAGCAATTAATAAAAGATTATAATCCTCCTACTCCTGCAGATGGCTGTGGTTATAAATCTGTAGCTGATCAGAATTTACCAAATCAATTTACAGAATTAATTATGGCTTTAATTAAATTGCTGACTGAGTCTAATTCTATTGTACCGTCCAACGCTGCTTCTCTATTTAGTGCTCTTCTTCAAATCTTCAACAACAATGGCTCCATTGGCCAAAGTTCTCCAGTGGAACTGTCGTAGTATTATTAATAAAAAAAGTGAATTATTTCATATTTTAAATAAAAATAAACCTTTTATTTCTGCCCTTCAGGAGACATGGCTGAAACCCATATCTACTTTTAAGATACCGGGTTATGCTTGTCTCAGAGAAGATAGGACAGATGGGTATGGTGGTGTCGCTATACTCGTCCGACATTTAGTTCCTTATTCACATATACCTATTGATCATAGCAGTAATTTTTCCATATTAGCTGTCCAAGTTAACAACATTTGTTATGTATCTTTATATATACCTCATCCATCAACTTCTATTTTTAATGAACTTAATAATATTCTTTCTGCCCTTCCCAAACCTTTATTAATACTAGGAGATTTAAATTCACAACATCAGTCTTGGGGTAGTACAACAAACAATTCATATGGCCACCAAGTTTTAGAAATATTAGATACCCTTAACCTGTGTGTATTAAATACTGGCCAACCTACACGTCGTACTCCACCTAATGAAGGAAATAGTGTTCCTGATCTTTCCATCTGTTCACCTACTCTTGCAACATCCCTTACTTGGTGCCCCTTGTCACTGTCATTTGGAAGTGATCATTTCCCTCTTATTATTTCTTTTCCTTTTATTGATAAACCACTACCAAAATATGAACCAAGGATGAAATATAAGCTAAATAATGCTGATTGGGATACTTTCAATAACGTCATTGCATCTAAAATCTCATCACTGCCTATTATTACTCAAGGCACTGAAACCATTTGCTCTAATGCATTCACTGAAGTATTAATACAGGCTGCTAATGAAGTTTTTCCTAAAAAATCTTCTTCTAAGAATACAATACCTTCACCACCATGGTGGGACAGTGAATGTACTGAAGCTATTAGGAAAAGAAAAAATGCTGAAAAACAATACAATTTACACTCTACATTGGAAAACTTTGATATCTTCTGTAATATATCCAGAACTACCCGTAAATTGTTAAGAGATAAGAAATTAACAGGTTGGAAGAAATTCTGTTCATCTATTTCTCCCAATGTGAATGCATCTATAGTCTGGAATAATATAAGAAGATTTAGAAGTGCATTCCACGATTCTAAATCAAATGTACTTCCTCCTCATATGGTTGAATGTTTCCTAGACAAGTTAGCCCCTCCCTCAGTTCCTGAAAAAGTTTTGTTGGATAAAGTTGTAATTACCTCTGATATAGATAATTTCTCTAAATTAAATGCTCCATTTTTGTTACCAGAGCTTAAGGGAGTACTTACAAAAGTTAAAGATTCTGCACCTGGAGAAGATGGAATACCATATTCTTTTTTTTCACACTTAGATAGTACATCTCTCTCCTATTTCTTAGATATCATTAACTCAATTATGATATCTGGTAATATTCCTGCTTTATGGAAGACTCAAAATATAATCCCCATTCTAAAACCTGACAAAACTCCATCTGACATTGCTTCCTACCGTCCTTTAGCGCTATCTTCAGTTCTGCTTAAACTGTCAGAACATCTGATCAAAAACCGTCTGGAATGGTATATTGAAAGTAACCACTATTTATCAGATAGTCAATATGGCTTTAGAAGAGGGAAATGTACTCTTGATAGTTTAAGTTTGTTTATAACGGATATTCGTTTAGCCTTTTCCAGAAATGACTCTGTACTTGCAACCTTTTTAGACATAGAATCTGCTTATGATAATGTTTCTTTGCCAATACTTAAGCAGAAACTTGATATATTACATATTCCAGTTAGACTGTCAACTTTTATAATTAATATTCTTACTGAAAGAACTATTCTTATAAATTCTGATGACACTGGAATCTCATCTAGAGTAGTATGGAAAGGACTCCCACAAGGTTCAGTTCTTAGCCCCTTATTATACAACCTATACACTTATGATTTAGAAAAGGCTGTGTTAAGTAATATGAATAATAATGTTTTTATTTTACAATATGCAGACGATCTGCTTTTTTATGCCATAGACAAATCTGTTCAAAAATGCTGTTTGAATTTGACATCTGCATTAAAATATCTAAAGCTTTGGTTTGATCAGAATGCATTGCAGTTGTCACTTAACAAAAGCAATGCAGTTTTGTTCTCCAGAATGCGTATGCCTCCTCCTATTTCTATATATTATAATAATTGTCTTTTACCTGTAAAAAGTCAAAGCAAATTTTTAGGAGTAATACTAGATTCAAAACTAAGTGGACTTCCCCATTGCGAATACATTACTTTAAGATGTGAACGATTATTAAATATTCTTCGATGTTTGTCTGGAACTTGGTGGGGCGCTCATCCGTGTTCACTCAAACTGTTATATAACGCCATTATTAGAAGTATATTGGATTACGGCACATTTCTACTAGAGCCGGGTAGCTCAGCTGGTCTTAAAAAACTGGATGGCATACAATCAAAGGCTTTACGAATTGTAACTAGGGCTATGCGATCAAGCCCTATAAATGCATTGCAAGTGGAATGCTCAGATCCGCCATTGTATTTAAGACGTCAATATCTTTCTGATAAATTTTTATTTCGCAGTGCACAATGTACTACTCATCCCCTATTTAGTAAATTAAAATTATTATCTAATTATATTAATAATTCTGAATACTGGCGCCATAAATCTATTCCTTGTATTATAAAGAGATTCCAGAAATTTTCATCTCTTACATCTCCTACTCATCGTTCACAATATTTTCCCATCTTCTGTACGAATTATGAATCATTAATTCTTGAACCAAGTATAATTTTTGACCTTAATATTCATAAAAATCACGACTCAAATATAGAATTTAACTCAACTGTAGACAAGAAATGGCGGAATTGGCACCGAATTTTTTGTGATGCATCTAAACATCATCCAACTGGATGTGTTGGGATCGGAGTTTACCATTCAAAATATAAAATAGTCCAAAAAATAAAACTTCCTCCAGAAACATCTGTATTTACTGGTGAATGTTTTGGTATTTACAAAGCTCTCGAATATATATTAATTACGAAACTTCAGCAAACAATAGTGTGTACTGATTCCAGAAGTGCACTGTTAGCTCTTCAAAAATTTCCATTTAAATCAAATATTAATTATCCTATTATCATAGAAATCAGAAAATTGCTGCAGTTATGTAACTCGAGGGGGTTCTCTGTCTCGCTTACGTGGATTCCAGGACATACTGGCATACATGGGAATGAGATAGCAGATCGCTTAGCGAACGAGGCAATTGGATGCGGTGATATTGTTCCATATAAAAATTATTGTCATGATCTGGCTGCTCTCCCAGGATTATATCTACATAATGCTTGGAGTGAATTTTGGCCTAATAGCTGCCAGAATAAGGCACGACATTATTTTAATATTCAACCAACTATTCAGTTTAAACCTTGGTTCTTCAAAATTAATTTGAACAAAAGCGAGACTACGTCAATAATTAGAATGAGATTGGGGCATGTATGCTCTCCTGCACATCTAGCTAAGCTAAAAATTGTAGATAATGATATATGTAGCTGTGGTACAGAAGTGGGTGACTTGAACCATATCATTTTCAGTTGTCCTCTGTATGATCATTCCTACCTTTTTAATGATCTCCTATCTCACCGAATTCCTTTACCTACATCAATTCCAATTTTACTATATCTTAATGATATTGATGTGTATAAAAGTATTTCGATTTTTCTAAGTAGTAATAATATAAAATTGTAAATATAAAACTGACTGCCTCTATATAAATATATCATATGTAAATAGTTGTCTGTTAATATATTAAGGTCTTATATAAGTATAATGACATATGTATATAATTAATATGTATAGTGTAGTACCTTAGTCTAATCCTTATAATTAATCTTATTGTCAACTTACCTGATCCTTTAAACCTATCGTCCAAAATTTCCTTTACCTGAACTACTGTTTCCCAAATTTTGTATATTGGCAAATGCACAGACGTGCCAAGCCATAAAGAAGAAAAAAAAAAAAAAAAAAAAAAAAAAAATGTTTTTAGATGTCTACATATATCTAGTTACCAAAGAATATACTACTCAAGATTTAAATATTGATTTAAAAGCTAAATAGTATTATTTTTAAGCAATAATAATTTATTAAATAGAACAGCTCGAAGTCCCTACTCCCAATTATTGAAAATCTGAATATCTTCCACTTCAATATAGTTAACATGGAAAAAAATGAATCAAAGGTTATTTTGTAACTATATTTATAAATTCGTTAATTTTAATAATAATAAAATATGGAATTATCAACTAAAGTATTTGGACGTCTAGGACGATTTTGGAGGTCTAATAAGTAAGTCATTGTTCATTGATTTAAATCTGTTTATAATTTCCTCAATTAAGTATTGAAATTACAGTAATATATGCTCTATGTTAACTATTTTGGTTATTTTTTGTTTACCTCATCGTACAATGAATTTGATTCCTATAATAATTTTGTTTGGATACAACCTGGGCAATAATTAAGTAGTTTTTAATTGAACTGTTATATAACTAACTCCTAAACAATAATTTGTGTTTATTAAATTTACAAAACATCCATCATGAATATTATAGAAAAACGAATTTCATTAGAGTTATCATAATATTTTTATATTTAAAAAAAATTATGACTGAAATTTCATTCAATACGGGAAGTATTGAATGAAATTTCAGTCATAATTTTTTCACTTAATATTAGTATTATAGGAGAATTATGTATGTAAATATATGATAAAATTGATTAACTTAAATATCTCAATAGTTAATTTTAAACTTTCGTGTTTAATATACATTATTTAAATTATTAACCGGGTCTTAACACGAATAATTTTATGGCAAATAAAGGTATTTACCTCTCTCGACGTTTCGACTAGGTTGCACTAGCCGTGGTCACGAGCTGACTGGTAAATACCTTTATTTGCCATAAAATTATTCGTGTTAAGACCCGGTTAATAATTTAAATAATGTTAAATATCTCACTCATCATTCATTACTTACAACTAGTAAATTTAAATGTCGCACATTTCAGATTACAATTTGGGGTATATAATAAAGTAGCACCGGCAGAGACCACACCTTCTAGAATTGTGCCAGATCATATTGTTAGACCCCATTATGTCACAGGACAAACACTCACAATACCTCATAAACCAGAAATTAAAGATATTAATCAAATAATGGGAATGAGACAAAGCTGCAATTTGGCATCTAGTATTTTGACTAAAGTGGAACAGTTTATTCAGGTAAAACTTTCATGAAATTAATTTGGTTATATAACAACTAGCTATGCAAAAAACTTTGGAAAACTTTGTTTTGCCCTATAAATTATTGCTGGAATAGGGCCACTGTTATTCCTCTTAAGGATATAAAAATTTACCTATAACCTTATTCTCAGCCCTATCAAATATACACCAAAATTTCTTATAGTCAGTTAAGCTGATTAAAAGCCAATTTGGAGAAGTTAGCTAATAAAACCTGTTTTATGAGTTTTTATATATCAGATATAATAATGTTTTCTGAATTAAATATTTAAATAAATTATTAAGACAAAATATCAATTTTACCAACATCACTAAATGTAAAGAATATACTTAATATATGTTATTAAAATGTACATAATTTTAATATATACTTTCAAAAGCCAGGTGTAACAACAGATGAAATAGACAATGTGGTTCACAATTTATGTATTGAGGCAGGCGCATATCCATCACCACTACATTATCATGGGTTTCCAAAGAGTGTGTGTACATCTGTAAACAATGTTGCTGTCCATGGTATACCTGACCTGAGGGAATTGCTAGATGGTGATATAATTAATGTTGATATAACTGTAAGTTCCATATTTCTTTTTATAACTATTCATATTTCCTGTTTGTTCATATATTATATATTAAATATATATATCAGCTTGGCTTTGAAAAATCTATATAAAATTTCTATTGAAATCTGTTTCAGCATGATTACTAAGTAATACACAACATTTTCATAATGATTATAGTAGTAGGAAATCAATATTCGTCAATTTATATATGCTGTATATTATTTTTCAGGTGTTTTATAAAAATTACCATGGAGATTGTTCAAAAACATTTTGTGTTGGAAATGTGGATGATCCTGGCAAGCAGCTTATAGCTGTTACAGAGGAATGTCTTGAAATTGTAAGTTGTTTTGTAGTAGTATAAAATTATGTTTATAAGTACCTATTGTTGTTTTTTGTTTTTATTTAGTAGTCCTAAAATATAGAAAAAGTATTACATATTTATATTTCTATTAGTATTTTAACTAAAACGTTATTCATACAATGTCAATTATAAATGATGAGGAAATGGGAGAGTTCTAATTTTGTACATTATTGTATTAATATATTGTGTGTCTATTATTGTATTGTACAGGCTATAAAATCATGTGGCCCTAATGTACCATTTACTGAAATTGGAGCAAGTATATGTCAGCATGCTAAGAAAAGTGGTTTTACAGTACTGCCAGCATTTTTAGGTCATGGCATTGGGCAGTACTTTCATGGGCCACCTGATATCTACCATTCAGGTAAATAATCAACAAATTTGCACATAATATAAATCATAGTTTTAAGAGAAATATCATTTAGGATTCTGTTGAGCATGAGGAACAAATTGTATCTGTGATATTATTAAAATATATTGAGTGTCAATAGCAAAAATAAATTTGTAATTTCAATCATATTCACAATTGTAATAGGAATATTTTGTACATACTCGTATTATACAATCTCTTCTCCAATTTTACTTTTATTAATGCCGTTTTAATCTAATTTAATGTGTCCAATAATATAATAGAAAGTTATTTGAAGTACAAATTCTTAAATTAAAATGCTTCAATAGTTAATATTAAACTGTACTATTTACAGAGAATGATTACCCCGGAGTGATGAAACCTGGAATGACTTTTACAATTGAGCCTGTTCTCTCACATGGTAAAGAATATACAATAATCCTTGAAGATGGATGGACTGTTATTACGGAGGATGGGTCTAGAGCCGCTCAAATTGAACATACTATTCTAATAACAGAAAATGGCGCAGAAGTTCTTACATAATTTATAAATGTCTTATCAATATTTAAATTTAAAATGAAAATTGGTACTACTTGATATACTGTGCGCTCCTACTCCATACGATGTAACATGGCGTGAGTGTTATTTATGAAAATTATTTCATTCAGTTTATTTTCTAATTGACATATATTTTATTATTTATAACCTGAACTACAAGAAACTAGGTAGGGTGAAACATTGTTGTTTTCAAGTTTTATTATTTTTTCTTAATGATTGCATTGTAAATTATATATATGTAAGAGAAGAATAAAACGACTAAAGTAGCGTGTGGTGTTTTATTTTTAGCTTGTTAAATAAAAATTGTATATGGGTACATTGAAAGCACAAGCACGATTATTTATGTCATTCTGTTGTCAACCAACAGACGGTATTTTAAAGGCGTAGAAGGCAGGTATTGATAAAACTGTAAAACATTAGTTTGACAAAGGATAAAGGCGTAACCAATGGGACGTCGAAACACCCCCCGGGTAATACGGTACACTCCACACTGGGTTCCACCACATCGATTCACAATTTTTGGTCCCATTAAGTATCCAGCTACGCCTCGATAAGTGCTAATAAGTGATGACTTAGATTTCAAGAAGTAGAATTAATGACTAGATTATATCATATAATATAGAATAAATATTTTCTAGCATTTAGCGACAAAGAATTCGGGCCACAAAAGCAATACGGAGTACAGAATATATAAAATAACGGATTAATGCTGAAGCTCTCATTCTTTAAAACTGTAATTTAAATTTTGATCTAATGGGAAAATCATTAATGTAAGGACTGTTATGAACCAATTTTATCTTAGATATCTATTATTAAATAAAACGTACAATAATAAAAAAAAATATAGACACTAAAACTCATGTTAAGTATTAGTGTCTACATTTTTTTTATAATAAAAATGTCCGGATATAGGAACAAACAACAAAATCGAATAGGTCAAACAGGGTGCTTAACATATACTAGGTGTATAAATACATTTCTTTGTGTAACAGAATACACGCTAAAATTACAAATTACAGTTTTACAGAGAGACAATACAGAATTGACACTAATAAGTAGATATTGAAGGTAAAATTCTATATGACTAGATTTATATATCCAAAAAGCAAAATATGTGTAGTATAATAGAATTGAATAGTTGTGCTGTTTAATGTTACATTATATCTTATTATTATGTATCATTTAAGCCAATAAAGACAGGGTAAAACTTTTACTTAATTAGGTATTACAAAATATTAATGAACAAATTAAATATATTCCTATGATAACAAGATAAATGTTTATCTTATATTCAGTAACTAAGCATTTGAAATATTTAGGATTGTACGTAAATAGAATAACATCTTTTAAAGCAGCATTTATTCCAATTGTTTTATCCAATACTATAACATTGGCATTACCCTTTAAGTAAACATTTTATGTCTGATCTACAAATTCCAAAGCCAAAAATCATGGTTGTTCACATGAATGGACGAAATCTTAATACTTCCGTTTTAATTCACAGGGTTTGTGAAATATACAATTATACATGTAAACAAATTACGGTTATAATATTCTTACAAATAGGTAAGTATGCTAGTATAAACTCTTAATGGTATATCATAAGCAAAGACATGCTTATATTTATAATATTGAGACATTTGTATACTTACTAAGGGTGCTAGGGAAGGTTAAAAAGAGTGTATAAAAGTTGATACAAAATTATTAAATAGATTTAACAACATACAAAAGCTACTTGCGACAATATATACTACAATAATGTTACTTAAACAGTAATTTATCACTCAAGATAACATACAATTTGTAAATAAGACCTACCTCAGTCAAAATGAACGAATATATCACTTACAATAAAATATACTCTTTCCCAACAAATAGAAACTTATTTAGAACATTCAAAAACACACAATTTTTATATAAAATTGAAATATTTAAGCACTAGCCTCTCAATTAGAATACTTATATCTATAATTTAACTATCTAAATATCAGCATTAGCTAACTTTGAAGGAATAGAAGTATTTATAATAGTATTATTAAAAGTATTAAATTTTCAAAATTATACAGAAGTTGATTTATGAGCCTTTCCATGTAGGTTTTGAACAATATTTTGTTTACATATTTAGCTAATTATCATTTATTACTTTCATAGAAATTTCAAACAATCTGAACCTACATAGAAATGAATTCAATATTTGGTGAAAGACATTTTTTGTGCTAAATAATTATCATTCATAATGTGTGAAGTGTATATATATTACTCACTGTGCCCTCATAACAATAGAAGAATTAATGAATTAAGAATTTCCGAGTTGAATAAACTTAAATCCTTAGTTATCATATTATGTAATATAATAACATTGGTGCAAATAAACTAAATATCTTTTAATGAGATTTGAATAAATTGTTGTCTAATGAAAGTAATAGAAAAACTTGTCAGTTGTACGGGAAAATAAATGTTTATGTCTAAAAATTATAAAACACCAATTATGTAAAATAATTAACAAAACAACACAAAATAACTACATAACAAAGATTATTATAACATAATCAACTAAAGTCATAAACCATTAAGGATCATGAAACAAAATTTAAAATAACATTTCACTATCTAAGGAATTGTATTTTATACTACTTATTTATCTTGTAGAATCTCTGGACAAAATCTGTCAGATTATGCACCTGCCCTGGACCCACTGAGAAGTCCATATTTATGTATTCATCTAAATTGTGAGTTGAACCTGTAAAGATGTAATTTATTCAGTTAATGCATTTGTATGTTTATTTTCAATTTGTATATTGAAATATATCAATTATTGTACACTATAATTGTACAGGTTAAACATATAAACATAGAAAATTAGATAAATTAAATATAAGTAATGAAGTTCATATTGAGTATCAAGATTGAAGTGCATCAGGACATTTTTTTGATAGATGAGTCTAAAATAGCAGCACTTGAATCTGCACAAATGTATATGATAGGCAATAAGCAATTGATTTGCCAAATATGAACTTTTGTATATGTAAGTTCTTACATAAAATAAGAAAAGGTTTCATAATTCTCTTGGAGATATGGATACATACTTATGGTATATATGGCGGGGTAAGAAGGTGGTGGTTTGATCCATGAGCCATCAGGCCTTTTCATGTGACGACGATCTGAGGCAAAATTTTGTAAAAACTGCTTAGCAGGCACTACACGAAAGAATCTGTAATGAAAATATTGTTTTTTTTGTACTGCATCTAAACTAATGATCCAATTGTTAAAATATATACTTATATTTGTAAGTTTTTACTACTAAATTGCTGAACAAATTTTTATGATATTCTTATACAAAAATACATAGGTATTGATAACTCATTAATTTCCAATTGCATGTATTCACAGATAGTAGCTTCCTAATGATTTTATTTTAGGTTTTCTTACTTATATAGATGTAATGTTATTGACATAGGACATTATAATTATTGAATAAGCATAACTGGCCTTAAGTACCTGTGAAAATCAGATTTTAAAACTTGGTCTGTTCGAAAAGTCTCTGTAACATATTTATGGAAAAATGTAGGAAAAGGCAACTCTGAGTCCAAATCGTAGACAAGGCAGGTCTTGGAGTCCCAGGAGTACATAAATATCACATGATAGTCCTAGAACAAGGAAAAGTAGAATTAACAACAGAAACAGACAAATTATTTTATTCAAATAAACTTCAATTTAAGCACTTTTGAATAGTTATGTATATTTTTATTTCATCACTTATTCGGAAAGCAGGCATTAACAAATAATGAGGAAGAAACAACAAAAACAAATAAGGAAATAGCATGATATATATATAGTTTAGGTACACACCCATATGACGAGACGGTCATCCTCACGCCCAGCTCTTTGTTTCCAAAGTGGTACAGTACGATGTGGGTTCGAAATAAAAACAATAAAACATCTGTCCATTTCCTCTGGAACTCTTAATGCCGCATCTTGGCACAGTTTCCACACGTTTTCTTCACTGTAATATGAAACAAACACAACAAAGCAGTAATAAATAGAAACATAAATATTTGTTTAGATCACCGGAAAATTGTAAAAAAATAATACTTGCCAGTAACATGACACATGTGAACAATCTTCTCTCTTTGGAAACAACGGTCTAGGTGATCTTTCTGTCTTTTTATTATTTTCATTGTTAGCCATATGAAGCTGTGTATTGACCGCCATGATGACAGTTAGTTTTTTTTTCTTTTCAACTCCTCTTACCCCTAAACCAGAAAGCACGCTTCTATAGAGGAGCGTGCTCTCTGGTTTAGGGGAGTATTTAATTATCAAATATGAAAACTATGTATGATCTTTCTCGATATCTTGTATAGCTTCGGAATTGTAGTTAGAAAAATCAATTATATTTTATGACATAAAAATGTAACAGAAATATGAATCTGTGCTTACATCTTCTATACATATAAATAAAATTGTAGCGTCTGTTTGTAATATTGAAATAACCGGTTTTGCTACATGCATAGGAATATATGTACGGTACATATACCAAAATAACATTTTTTATAAATTTAGTCTGTCTGTCTGTTTGTTCCAGCTAATCTCTGAAATGGCTGGACCGATTTTGATGGGACTTTTTTTAGCAGGTAGCTGATATAATAAGGAGTAACTTAGGCTACCTTTACTTTAGAAAAATAAAAGTAAATTCCACACGGACGAAGTCGCGAGCACAGCTAGTTTGTAATATTTCTGTCAACACTTGTCACACACCTTGTAACGCACAATCATTTATAACATATTTATCTTACTGTTGAAGTTATTAAACTATACGTGTGTCACCACTTTTAGTAAGAGTATTTATTTGTTTTCTAAGTTGTATTTCAAATATATTAAATAAATATTAGTATATACTTAGGGCATTATGATTTATATTGAATGCTTGAAAAAATCATTCATGCATTTCACATAATGTAATTTAGGGACCACGCTCACACGTCGATATTCAGTATAAATAATAAGTAATAAAACTAAAAATACTACAAAATTTTCAAGGAATTAATATAGGAAATTGGTAGTAGCACTCACCAGTATTAAGCAACGCCGGGATCAGGATCAGTGTTAAGGAAAACCAGGACTAGGATTTTGGATACCTACACTAGTTAATATTAGTCAGTTAGCAAGTTCAGTCAATGTTCATAGTATATAAGACAAAAGGGTAATCTGTCATAAAAAAATATTATTTTCTTTTATTATTTTTACATTGACAAGCTCTGCTAGAATGCATATCGCCTGCCATTGAACCAAGGAGGTTCTTAACATCTTCTCTCGATGTGTAATCCTAGCAGCTTACTAATCTTCTCTAACCTTGGCTTTGGTAAAGCTTTAGTAAAAATATCCGCAAGCTGCCACTCACTGCTAATTTTCTGAACCATGAGATCACCTTTTGTCACAAGTTCTCGAACAAAGAAGTGCCTGATGAGAATATGTTTTGTTCTCTTGTGAAACTCAGGATTTTCCGCTAGTCTCACCGCGGCTTCATTGTCCACTTGTAATACAGGAGGATACTGTATTTCAGTAAGTTCGCTTAGTATCCTAGTTAGCCAAATGCATTCTCGAGCTGCTTCACTGGCCGCAACTATTTCTGCTTCAGTGGTTGAAATTGCAACACTTGCTTGTTTTTGACTCATCCAAGATACAGCACCACCAGCAAACATGCACAGTACTCCAGAAGTTGATCTTCCAGTACCAACGTCTCCTCCATGGTCAGCATCACTATAACACTCTATGATGCCCTTTTTATAGTCCTTTTGATACAAAATACCCATATCTTGCGTATGTTGTAGATAACGCAGAATCCGTTTCAGCTTTACACAATCGTCTTCAGTTGGATTTTCCAAATTTCTTGAGACGACACTAACAGCAAATGCAATGTCAGGTCTCGTTCCAACCATGAGATATGCTAAGGCTCCAACAATATGTCTATAGTTCAACAACATATTACTCATGTCGACCTTATCCCGGTTTTGAGACATGTCTCTAACAATTGGTGTATGCACCGGTCTGCAGCTGTCCATCCCAAACCGTCGAAGAACTTTGTTCACATAACACTTCTGATGAATTTTTATGCCGTCTTCTCTGGTTATTATCTCTATACCGAGAAAGTAGGATACAGACTTCGGTGTGATTTTAAATTTTCCCATTAAATCTTTTAGGAAACTTTCGATCAGTTTCTGATTAGACGCAGCTACCAAACCATCATCCACATAAAGAGCCACAATGAGCTTCTCGCTAGACTCCTTTCTTGTGAAAAGGCATGGATCAGCATCAGATACTTTCAAACCGATTTCCTTGAAAAAATCTAATATACGCTTGTTCCAGCACCGAGGTGCCTGCTTCAAACCGTAAAGACTTTTCTTCAGTAAACAAACTTTACCAGAGTTATCTTCATAACCTTCCGGCTGTCGCATGTAGATTTCTTCATCTAGATCGCCATACAGAAAAGCAGTAGATACATCAAATTGCGCCATATGCATCTGTTCATTAGCGGCAACAGCTAATACACTTCTAATGGTCGCCATTCTTGCTACAGGACTGAATGTTTGATAATAGTCCACGCCTTTCTTCTGACTATATCCCTTAATAACAAGCCTAGCCTTGTATTTGTCGACATTCCCGTCAGCATTTAATTTGACCTTGAAAACCCACTTGCAGGGTATGACTTTCCGACCTTTCGGGAGATCTACCAACACCCAAGTTTTATTTTCCTTCAGAGAATTAATTTCCTTATCCATTGCCATTCTCCAAAGTTTACTTTCAGCACTTCTCACAGCTTCCTTGTAGCTATTAGGTTCCAGTTGATTACCAGTGCTCTCTCCATTTATATTATATAGAATAAAATCATTGAATTTCTGTGGTAGACGAAGCGATGACCTATCTCTAAGAATACGACTACTTTCCTCTATAATCTCATGTTCATCCATAGTTTCGTGAAGCTCGGCTTCGTCATTTCCTTCTAATACCCCCCACATTCAATATTTTGTTCTAGCGTATTACTTCTTGCATCATTAAATATATCTTCATTAATAACAGAAGTGTCTTCTCTATCAATAAACTCATCATTGTTTACAAGACCGTCAACTTCATCATTATATATATTCTGAGCATCAGAAGATTCTACATGAGGTAATTTTTCATCATTCCTCTGTTGAGTTATCTTTTGTAATGCCAAAGGTTGCAACTCAATTACATTGCTAGGAAATTCTGCTTGCATGGGTTCAGACACCTTCAGTGATTCACCTCTAAGCAGAGACATATCATCAAATGTCACATCTCTTGACCTTACTAAACCAGTAGAACCATTCCAGAGACGATATCCATCATCATTATCATATCCTATTAAAATACATTTCATAGCTTTCTTATGTAATTTTTTCCGAGTCTGTTTAGGTACGTGAGCATAACATGATGACCCAATGATCCTCATGTGTTTAATCCTTGGCTTTATACCAGTCCAAAGTTCTGAGGGTGACTTGTGTTCCACTGACGTTGGCCCTGTCCTGTTTCAAATATATACAGCAGTATTCACCAATTCAGCCCACAAAGTTTCAGGTAACCTTTCATGTGCATGCATCATAGCTCTAGCACATTCCACGATCGTTCTGTTATCTCTTTCGCTATTTCCGTTTTGTTCCGGTGTATACGGCATCGTCAGTCTTTGCTTTATTCCATTTTCCACCAATATTTTCCGTACTTGTGCATTGTCGAATTCACCACCATTGTCACTCAATAGTTCCTTAACAACATGACCAGCTACTTTAGCTTCAACTAGAAACTGTTTCAATTTCTCGTGTACTTCCGACTTATTCCGAAGAAAATACACAAAACGATGACGTGTATATTCGTCTTTGAAAAGTACAAAATATCGTAATTTGGAATAACTAGATGGAAAGGGCCCACAAACATCCGAATGTATGCGTTCTCCAGGTTTCGTAGCTTTATCTCGTACACCAAACTTTTGTCTGTGAGATTTTCCAAAGATACAACCTTCGCATAATTCTTCACTATCTTTTGTTTTTATTCCCAACTCTCTATCTATCAGACTTCTTATATGTCTTTTATTTTGATGACCAAAACGTTCGTGATAAAGTTGCAATATATCAACTTTCTGTACCAAATTTACTAACATATTAATAGGCGGTACGACTCTACAATTCAGCTTGTATAATCCTCCATACCTCTCCCTATTTCCTGTCACAGTAATCATTCCTCCTATTTTCATAGTACAAGTAGTGACCCGTGATTCAAACACGCTACCTGGATTCCTATCTTGCGTCGATAATACAGAAAACAGATTTCTACTTATCTGAGGAACATACCAAACATCTCTCAAAGTCGATCTCACAGTATGTCCATTAACATCGGCCTCAATACAAACTGATCCTTTGCCTACTGCCTTGATCACATTTTTGTCCGCCGTAGTTACAGTGTGACCTTCACTGAAGTATTCGAAATCTTGAAAGATATCATTCCGCATTGTAATATGATTCGTAGCCCCATTATCTACATTCCAATGGTCACGATCTGCAATACTACTTTCAGCCGAATTCACAGTCAGTAACATCATGTTAATTCCCTTACTACTGCCATCTTTTCGAGAAACTACTTTCTTAGGACAGTCTTTCTTAAGGTGACCAACCTCTTTACAACCAAAGCATTTAAACTTTTTGCTACTGTCCTTGTTATTACTGCCTTTGTCTTCACACTTACTAGGTTTCTTCTTGACTCCTTTGACAGCAAAGGCCTCACAACTAGATTCACTCTCTACATTGTTACCGAGTGCCTTTTCATGCGCACACAGCTGACTTGTGATATTCTCTATATTCCTATCCTTCTTAGACATTAACAACCAACTTGACTTGAATGAAAAATATGTTTCAGGTAAAGTATCCAAGATTTTACAAATTAATAGAACTTCAGGTAAATCCTTACCTTCCTCTTCTTTCATTAATTCTTGCTTGAGTTTATACCACAGATTTTTCAACTTCGAGATATGTGAAGCCATGTCGTCAACAGGATTTTTCTTATATCTGAAAAATTCTAAACACAAATCATACAGGCGGTCCTCACATACACCTTCGTACAGGCGATGTAATTCATCCCATATTTCCTTTGCGGTCGTTAACCTTAGAATTTTATCCAGGATATTATCAGAGATATTATTAGTTATTACAAGTACAGCTATACTATCCAACTTAGTGTAGCTTCGTAAGTCCTCTTCGTACTTAGCCATAGCTGCTGAATCCCCAGCACTACTATCTGGCACTTCCGGTTTTTTAATTGATCCATTTATTACATCCGTTATACCGTATTCCCCTTAATAGTGCTGACATGCGATACTTCCAATGTATCCAATTTTCACCTTCTAATTTATTAATTTGAAATTTCGACAAATCCATTTTGAAGTTTGGTATTAGCCCATAACCTAATATAGGAAATTGGTAGTAGCACTCACCAGTATTAAGCAACGCCGGGATCAGGATCAGTGTTAAGGAAAACCAGGACTAGGATTTTGGATACCTACACTAGTTAATATTAGTCAGTTAGCAAGTTCAGTCAATGTTCATAGTATATAAGACAAAAGGGTAATCTGTCATAAAAAAATATTATTTTCTTTTATTATTTTTACATTGACAAGCTCTGCTAGAATGCATATCGCCTGCCATTGAACCAAGGAGGTTCTTAACAGGAATTAGTTTTACTTATTTTATTAGTTTCCATAGATTTTAATTAACAAAATCTCAATTTTACTGGTAACACTTTTTGTGTATGGGTTGGTAAGCGTTATTGCTGTCCGCCATGATTAATTTGGCATCGTTTTGTTTGTGGTTGTGACCAGCTGGCTGTGGCTTTATAATAAAAGCCATCTATTATCTTTTAGTTGTTTACAAGTTTCTTTAAGATTGGGAAAAAGGAGGGCGGTGCGTTGTCCTAGGTTTCGACCGGACTAGCGTATCGTCCGGACCTTTCGTAATATCATTATTGCGACGAATTCAGCTTTATTGGGTTTGACAAAATAGGCCACGATGACCCGTGAGTAATCTATCTTATTTGGTCATTCAGTACAAGAAAGAGGTATCTGAAAAAATACCCCTATTTAGAGTTACGCTGTGGAGTAAATTATCCATGCGTATGGCTTATAGAGATAGTAATATTAGTCTACTGAAATATCCAATACTTTGAACAACCTTAATTTAATTACGTTAAATTTTGTCACATTTTTGTACGCTTCTAGGTACGCTGTATACGTACCTATAAGTTTAGTAAATGATTAATACTTTATTATTAATTATCTTATTAACTTATAGGTGGAAATCAGAGAGATTTGGCTCGCGCCAAGAACCAAAAAAAACAACAAGAAATGCAGAAAAAAAAGAATGCCAGTGAAAAAACTGGTATGTCTCTGTCTGAAAGGAAACATAGGTAAAGTATCTTGGCAGAGGTTACTATAAGTAGTAATTTAGTTAGGGGTTTAGGCAAGTAATAAATTACCCGATTCACTGTTTCCACGGATAAAGGGGCTATATACAGTGATTTTATAACAGTAGAAAAGAAATATACTAAAGGTGTAATATACTGTGGTTGTAATTATATGAAGGTATTGTTTAATGTGGGTAGTTAGAATAGACTGCAAGTAAATTATAATATCACAATATTGCATTTGTAAATTTATTTGAACATTGTTTTTTGCCATGGTAATATTGAATGTAGTGTCACTGATTAATTATTGTTCTAGCTTTTAAAGATTGTTTAAAATGCATACTATCTGGATATAATATGGAACCAATATCATATAATGAGTAAACTAATGTTCATAACTTATGGACATAGGCCACAACACTATCTAATTTTTGATATACATATAGATTTTTAGTAAATATATACCAGTTCAAAATATGCATAGAACAATACAAAGTATATATCAATAGACATAAATATCATTACAAATGTTTGTATGGTGGCTGACACTGAGGATTACAAATTATTTTTTATTTGGCTAATATATTTGTTCTAGTCAACCTATATAATATATAAAAACAGAGATGTATAGAAAATGTCTCATTTTGATGTAGTTTCAACATAATGTGAAACCATGTCCAATTATAACTTAAATATTTAATATTCTAATACTCTGTTATAGGTAGCCACCTTCATTAAGTACATGCAAATAAGTATGTTTAATATTAACATCTTAATGTTTTAGGGATGCCGAATTAATGAGAGAAAAGCAACGAAAAAAAGAAGAGCAAGTAGCAAATAAAAAAGAACCTGTAAATTAATATTGCACATAGAATATTTAAGTGATCCATATTATTATGAACACTAAACATTTCAGGCGGTTTTGGAGAGAGCTGAAATTGTTAATGTGATACCTAAGCAATTTATTAATTTACATTTTATTAATTTTCAGTTTCATCTTAAAGCCTAATTTAATAAACTACCCATAACATAAGTTGTTGTTTTGTTGATTTTGTAATATATTAATTCATTTGGAGCATATTCTGATCTGGTACAGAGTAGCAGTGAAAAGTATTTTTTTATATTTTCAATTTCAACAATTTCACGACTGAATAGGTCTGTATGTACAACACATCTACTCAAGTTTTTATATAAGTAATAAAGAGTATATAATTATAAAATAAATATAGATTTTTATTTAAAAAATATAATTTGTCCAATTTAGGTATTTAGTTAATTTTGAGGTCTTACTAAATTTTTACCTTACCAGAACTTTGAGAGTTGTGTTCTGATGTTCTCAAATCTATTTATTTATATTAATATAGTTTGTTGTCAAATTTATTAGTTATAGTGTTATAGTTGATAAACAACTAACTAAACTATTAAATTTTAATAGATATCTTTTATATATTGATATTAAGTAGAACACTTACAATAACACAAATGGGTTAAATGCCAAAATGAAGCAAACCTTCAGGATTGGGGTGGAGGAAGGGATTGCCAGTAATGTTTGCTTGGTGCCAATATTAACAATTTAATGTTATGCAGTTCCCTGGAGAGCACTGTGGACACAATTAATCTCTGGTGATTCTGCGACGGTATCAAAGTGATCAGATTAAATTCTCCGTTGGCGCACCGACGGCATATACTCCTGGTGAAGGTGTGGTAACCATTCCAGTAAAATAAATCTCATTTGTACACAAGATTATGAAGGATGGCAGTCTTATCATTCAGTATAATCATTATTTCTAATATATAAAAAAACTAGCTGTACCTGCGACTTCGTCGGCGTAATAAATATCCATAGACTTATAATAACAGGTGTTTGTACACTCAGTAACACATCAATTTATATCATATCTATCATTGGCTGTAGAACAAAAAATATATTATATATTTTTGGTTCGTTGGTAGTAATTAGAGGAATATAAAAAATTGGAAAATCCAACTAAAAGAGCACAATGGACATTTTTAAAATCTTAATTATTCCCCAATCATTTCGTTCAGTGCATATACTGGTTTAATGCATATTCTATAAAATAACAATAGCTCAGAACAATTCACATAAATACATAGAAAACACCCATAACAATACAAACATTTATGACATATATACACGTTTGTATTTTGCAAGGAACCATACCCGGGACCATCAGAAGTATGGCGGTGTGCTAAGCCGTTAGACTACTGCCATCATTATATCACATAAATTGCGCATAAGCTGAGTAGCTGAACAAATTATAAACTTTCTGCAAATAACACCTTGATATGACGTTCTAGGGGCAATAAAAAGTAAAAATATAATATAAAGTAATTATAATTTCAATGAAACAAATATTGAATAATAAGAGGTAATGTTAACAAACAAAACTTAAGAGAAAAACAATTATCTATATCTTGAGAAAAATCAACGAGTATTATTATTAATTCTACAATTATTTTAAATCATATGTAATAAGTAGCTTAGCTAATTAGTATAAGGTAATCTAAGTAGGTAATAATAAAAAATATTAAGTACACTTGTCTATGTATTAGCTGGATATATATACCTATATGTATCTATATCAGGCTAAACAATGTATTTATTGGTATAGAACAACAATGTTACTTCATCGACAGCCTGGCAAATACTTAGCTATTCCAAGTTTTTATTACATGACAAGTCATAAGACATTGTTTATTTTTCTAAGCTCCACTTATTGTGGTAGCCTAACCTACATTTACATGGGACAATTTATTGTTAAAAACAGGTCCATTCTTACTATCTTTTGACTACCTCGGTAATCTAGCAATTTAGTACACCTCTTTACTTTCAATGGTCACGGGTTCGATTCCTCTCATACATACATGCATTAAAAACACTTATTAATGTAATTATATTAGTTATCTAGTACCCATAACACAAGCTCTGCTTGGTGGGACTAGATGGCGCTGTGTGAACTGCCTGAGAAAAAATAAAAGAAATAGTCAAAATCAATTCAGCAGCTATTTTTATTTGCAGAGATTGTGCTTGATATATTACACAATCATATTTCTACATTTACAATTTAATTAATTTGTGTCCTCAAATATAAAAATAATAAAAAAGAGAATTCAACTAAACTATAATTTAATAATGTCTAACAACTAGCATTGTGTTTTAAATTAGTCTACGCATTAGATCTATTAGAAAAGTAACAAAGACTTTAGATAAACCAGCAAGTGAATTATTCTCAGGATACTCATAGAGATACACTAACTACCATTGATAGCCAATACTACATTCAATACAATTTCTTCAAAATAAATGCTGGTTCATCCTGTCCTGCACTGGTGTTTTCGTATTTTATATTATTTATTATATATTATTATTTTCATTATTAGACTATAATTGAATTTTATACTTAATTCTATTATTATTATAAGACTAGTATGTTACAACAGAAGCTATTTCAAGATGGTAACAATTATAAATAGTGAACTTGTTAATATTTTTTTTTACCAAAAGGTAAAAGAAAGCTTAAAAAAGCTATTTTCAATAAGGGCCCTCTACTACAAAAAGAATGTATTTTTATTAACAAAAATGTAACTTTCAATTCTAATTTACTTAACTTTACTTGGAGGTAAAATGCAAAAGCTGTGTCTAGAGTGATCGCCACTAGTTGGTGCCTCAACCTCAAATATAAGTTACTACAAACTTATATTCTTGCAGTATAAGTATTTATGTTTAGCAATCATTCAAGTGATGACATAAAATTCCCAATTGTATGATTAAATAGGAGGTTAAGGACTTATAAGTAGAAGGCTCACTTAGATATGAAGTATTTGTAAAACTACAATATAATATAATTATCATAAGTAAATTGCAATTACTTAGAATTTACAGCTAAAGCTAAATAGTACTAATATGCAATCAAGTAAATTAGGCATTTCCATTCACTAATGTCTTACATTCAAATTCTTGTCTTTGCTTATACAATTCATTAACTAATTCCTTTATGAATGGGTGTTTAAATTTGCCTTCAGTGCTTGAGAAGAATTCTTCTAACTTCTTTGGTGTATTTTCTCGTTTCTCATATTCAAATGCTTGCAGTATCATGTCATAGCGATCCAAATCTTTTGCAAATTGCGCCTCTGGAGAGGTTTGATTTTCATATTCCTGATATTTATACAGAATTAAATTAAATTACTACTGTGTATTGTTAAAAAAAGATTAGTGAAATATGTTGATGATGATGATGAATTTAGTTAACTTGTTTGTTGGACAAGGTAACACAATAATTGACCAGAATTTTATTGTTTCATATACATAGACCCCAGTTAATCACTTATTTCAATATATATGTATATGTACATACATATATTTGCTACCTTTTCGAAAGATACAAGAATATGCCTTCAAGCACAAACTTGTTTTAATAACAAATACAATCATGTAATAATGGCCAATTAAAGTAATTCTCACCTTATACAATTCATACATCCTATCGCCTGCAATACCAGTTAACTCTGCAATTTTTTTCATTGCTTCATCTTCTTGGCGATGTTTCTCTTCTGGTGAGACTCCACAATGAGGTGTGATGTCACCAACAATACACTCTGCTAAGTCATGGACAAGAGCTGTAATATATAAAAAAGAAAATATTAATATTATTCATTTAAGAGCATGTGTGCTTCATTTCTTGGTTTTTTAAGGGTTTATCCTATTGTAATTATGTTTAGGATATACAGTGGTATTTAAGAGAGTGAAGAACAGAGTAGTCTTTTTTATACTATCTATTTATATATTTAAGACATGCATATGAAATTGTATTTCTAACAGCGCCCTCAGACTAAAGTTAGATTAGACTAAAGAGTCTTATACACTCACCCCATTATTTTCATTTGGTGAAGCTGTAAAGGTCTGCTGTGGCCAACAGCATTACAATTGTTAAAAAAACAATGTTATAAAGATAAGATAACTGAATTCATACATAATTAATGTTTCATGTACCTACATAACCTAAACAAAGCAAAAACCATGGACATAGGGATAAATGTATTTATGGTTACAAATATAGATGTAGGTATAAAACCTACAATATTTTAAACAAAAGTTGTAGCATATTTTTATTGTGTTGTGCTCATATTACTAGGTAATAACATATACATATTTATAAATAAAGTATTAGTATTAAAAAAATATTAATAGAAATATCTGCATTTGAAATATATATACCCTTATTTTGAAATAATGAACAAATTTTTAAAAAGAGCTAGAAGGACATTAATATTTCAAACTTTCTCCTATGGAAATAGTTAATTATATAAGTAAACTTGGCCATAGATTTGAAATTAATACCCGTTTCCTTTTGAAACAAGCAGATATTAGTTATAATATTCTACTTGGAATTTGACTGAAATAAGAATGATTATAGCACTAGTATTAGTCAGAATAATATTCTAATACATGAACTAATCTTACCTATTTGAAGACATCTGAAGCGGTCTAGGTTAGTAGGATTGTTTTCATCTGTTAGAAGGAATGTCATTAGTCCCATACGGTACATATGGCCAGCAATACTTTCACAATCATTAATATCGCAAATAACCCAGCCAGTCCTTTTCACGTGCTACAAGGAATTATGTGAATATTAAGAAATAATGCGGATAATATTTAATTTCGATATTATAAGGTCTGCTACGTAACTATAAAACAAAAGTCAACAAATTAATCATATATTTACCTTCAAACGACCAACTAACTCTAAAAATTCTAGGATTTTTTTATTTTCAGCAATTAAGGCCATTTTTAAAAGTATTGATTACTTATATTATCGTTATATTTCTAATTAGTTATGACAACATTACACTACTAAAAAATAGTAATGTTAACTTGGATTTGTAATACTTGGAAAATTTTAAATTATTAAATAATTTGAATTAATACAAAAACAGTACATATGATAAGAAAACGGAAACGTCAAACAGAAATGACACAATTCATAGACGTTGAGATTGTTGCCAGATTACGGACTTATTTTTATCCAACAGTCAAGTTTGGAAAAACGTTGGTATTGAACTATTAAATCTTGCTTTAAAGGATCTAATAGACTCTTTTTAGGCTAACAAGTGTTCCGGAATTTCTGTTTTTGATACTGCGAAGAGACCGCGTCGATAATAGTCTTGTTTTCGTTTAGAGTACTAATATTGTTGCTGATTGCTGCCTTTATTTTTCGAATCTGACATAAAAGATACAAAATTGTAAAACTTGCATTAGGGTTTCAAATATTTTATAAATTATGGAAGTGAAAGATTTCAGAATTTATAGAAAAAATCTATAGACCTTGAATGGCCAAATAGTCTCTAAATCATTATCTAATCGAAAAAATACATATTTCTTGCAATGGCAAGAAATATGTATATGTAAAGTAGATAAACTTTGTTATTAATATTTTGAAAGTTATGACAAGGGACAATGTTGGAACAGTGTTGTAACAACATAACAACCGCTCTCATGTTGTTCCCAATTTAGTATCGTAAGTAGGCCGCTGTATAGGTGTTAGCTAAGTACAATCTAACAACCATTTAGATTATTTTTTAAGTTGGGCCAGTAAATACGTCAGAACTCTTCACCGATACAACGCTCTTTATAGACTTTCGAATGACGATGAACTTTATTATTATTGCTATTGACATCAATTTATTTGTCTTGTGGAAAAGTATTATTAAAAGTGCTGTATAGTCAGCGTGAAAGGCACTCGAATGTGGTGAAAATTGCGGAGAAACAACTATCTGCTCCATTAAATAAATTGCTCCCCTTTGAGAGGAAGTTGTTTTCTTAGACGTTGGAGTTGTGAAGCGACAAGAAATTTTGATGTTTGCATGTTGTAACTAGTAGTTACATACGCTTGAGGATAAGTTATATTAATCAAATCGTATTTAAATAATGCCCCGAATACTAATTTCTTGTTAAATAGAATATATATCACAGAGTAGCAGCTAAATTAGTCATTAGATATTAATGTAAAAAACGTTTTATGAGAGTTGTTATATAAGTTTGTAATGTTTTGAATTTAAAATTATGTTTGAAGTTTAATTGGCGCCTTTATATAGGTACTATCGTATGATAGGTGGAATAAATAATTATTTGCAAATAAACCGCGCTGAAACAATAATCTTACATAGATTTATTTATAATAATATGTTGAGCTCCACCCGGTTCCTCTGGAAACGTTCGTGATAAATTCCTGGTCAATTTGAAAGAATGTTAGAATATCTTGAAGCACCATTCCATCATCATTCATTAAAAGAATTTAGAACCTTCCTTGTTATCATCAGATTTTTTTATTTACTTAATTCGACAGTCTAAAAATGAAGATGAGGGTTTTTTAAATTTCTGCATTATGTTATTTAAATGACCCCTTTTGGCATGCGATAAGTGTAATACGAAGGAGTGAGTTTACATCAAAGTTCCAAACGAGAAACAACGACCACAGCTTGCTGAATGCTTGAACATGTTAAAAGCCACTAACTTTATATTACCCTTTCTCTTCGAATAATTACGCGTGGTTTTGCTGTTAAACAGCCATTACACTTTTAATAAAGTACCTATGAACTTTAATTGTCATGTTGCACATTTAAGTTTTGTATAATTTTATAAAAAGTTCACCTATATTGGTAGATACGGTTTTGAGTTAGACGACTGCTTTAGGCGAAACGTCAGCTTGTTTGTCATATAAATTCCTAAAATCTAGTTACGTAACTAGGCATCTAGTACATCTTGGATAAAATCTGTACAGAATTTTATCCAAGTGATATATTGTTATCATTCCAGTTGTCTCGTACTAGGTATAAAATGACATTTCTAATATCATGAGAAAACTTCGGCGCGTGATGATAGCCGGGCTGTAAAAAAGTAATATTGGGTAGGTGAGCTCGCTCGTAAAAAGCATCGTAGAAATACGTGGACATTATAAAAATATAACGATCAAAGGAGCTTAAGGGTGCTGTGCAAGCATTCGGGCTTATTATTTTTTATTGCGTTGGAATAAAAATAGAAACCTACAATGTCGTTTATAGCCTTTATTTTTTAAGTGAAATGAAATAAGTAATAGTATAAGATAATATTATTTTTTAAAAATTTGTGTGGCCATATAAATTAAACACTTTGTTATTTTTTTAATTTATTGAATTTCCTATTTGATTTATCACAGTTCGGTAGGTAATTGCTGTGGTAGGAACTTTATTCATTTACCAATTGTATTAAAATTTATACTAGGCCTTTTATAGATATTTCATATCTGAGGTTAAGTTATGCAAATGTAACTTAATTGCTCACGATTTTTATTTTTCATAAATAACTAACATTAACATTTGCCTAAGATTACTTATGCTTTCAAAAGTAACGTCATGAAATTTAGGTCTCTCCTTACACTTCCAAAGTACACTAGTGTAACTGTCAAATGCAGTATTTCGTGTTACTTTAAATCGTTATAGAGATAGATACGCATAACATGTACTGTATGATTATCTAACGCCGTTCACTCTAAATTATTAATGATAACTTATACGGACCCATAGTTAGTGAGCTAGAGGAAATAATTAATGGGCCTTTAACTGGGCCACCGACCTTCGCTCCTGAAATCCAACCAACCGATTCCTGGTGAATTTGCTAAAATGGGTTTGACTTCATGCTCCTCCTATCTTCCTCCACCGATCCCCAACATTGTATACCATTACTGTACATTTTCATACATTAAACATAATCCGACATTTAGGCAATAGCTGTAATGAAAGACTTGTGGTACTCCTACAAATTGCCAGTCATCTAGATAAGTACATTTAAATTTGGTCCTTTATAATTTGTTTTATTTCCGGCCGCAGCTTTACCCGCACTGAATTCGTTATCTTCTGTACCCGATTGCGTTAAAATAAGGAATCTCTTCGCACAATGTCGTGTTTCTAGACCCAACATTTTCAGCAGCTGTGCGTTGATCCAGTCGGTTGGGCAGTTTACATACAGATTTAGACATAGAAATACGCATGTATTGTGTTCTGGGGTTTACAATATTTTTGTTTGACCATAAAGCGACCCCGTAGAGTAAACATTAACATTCAATGTTAACGTTTCTGCATGTTAATAAAAAAGGTAAACTACGCACTGCGGGTATTATACCTACGCTAACAACAGCAAAAGGTAAAACCGCACCTCATTGTAAATTTAATGCGTTTGGGATTTTCTCTCTGTTTTCAACTGGCTTAGTTACTAACCACTTTCAGACCTTTACTATTAAAACATGCATTAAAACTTCTGGAAACAAAAATTACTAAGCAATTTATGTGTGTTTATTATTTTTAAGTCATCAGTACATGTGGTCACCATATGAACTGAAGAGCCCAGACAATTATTTTTTATTTAAAAATATGATTCCAGACTTTGTAAAAGTCGTCTGCATGGGAATCTTAGTGTCACCTATTTTAGCCGTTTAGCAGCTTTATCTTTAAGCTGTGCGTCGGTTGAAGGAGTGAGTTGAGATAAGGCAGTGGAATTACAGGATTAGAGACATGACATCTTAGTCATTCTGAAAGACAGGGCATAAGCAGCATCATGAGCGTTATATGATAACTTATTCTTAGCGCCGTTCATGTATTTAGAGGACGGTTGCCAATTACCACCCGTTAGAGGTGGACTGTCAGTTGTTTGAGATTCCAAAAACAAAATTACCTAGTACATACATAATTATTTAGGCACAAAAATATTTTCTTTCAGCTTCTCATGCTTATTGAAATGTAATGTAACAATGAACGAGTCTACCGTCATCTTATAGATTAATTCGATTAATTTACAGTTGACACAATAACAGGAGGGTTGACAAGCGAAATTTTGATATCGGCTACATCAAGAAGAGCAGTCAACTGAAATTAAATATGCTAAGAGTCTTTAATTAGAAAATCCCAATAGTAATCTTCCTTATTAAGGGCGCTAATACTTGAGTAATATATAACAGAGAAGCAATCGATCGCATCAAACCCGGGTTTTAGGGTAAGTTTGATTCATTTAGACCTAATCCCAACGCCCGCTTCCCAACTATCTCATTAGTCGGCCAATTTGTTTTGGGATCACGCAAAGACTTTAATCTTGTGGCTTGGCGACTTGTCACTTCCATTGAATGATTATATTACGACAGTTTTTTTGTCACTACTAGTATTTAATCGATTATTAATTACTTAACGAGCAACCCGTGACTTCGTTTGTGCCGACTTAAATTGTATTAGATCTTACGAAAACTATTTTATGAATAAGATCTATCTCTATCTACCAAAATCGAGATGATGTCTGTATTATGTGCATATCGAAAGTTTTATTCAATACATCCTACATGGATTAATCGTTGTCACTGAAAGATTAATCGTTGTGTATATTTATGGAAAAGAAATTAATATATTCAATACACATTTACGAATACTAGTGGTCGCTAAGTGGTCGACTTTCCAACGAAAACCATAATTAATTTAAATTATAAGTTTTAACATTGCCTTACCTTGACTTGCCTTCACGTAATTAATATTATAGTTACTTTGACTGTCTGACCCCCCTAGAAGGGTCAAGGTTGAGGCCTCGGAGCGAGCGTGTTTGCCTCAGCATCAACATCTTGGGGCGGGTTACTAAAACTAATTTAAGTGAGTAAAAACTGACATTTTGGTCAATAATATAATGGTCTGGTCAATGTCGCCCCTGAGGTATCGCACTGTGCTCTCCCACGCGATCTCCTGTACACTTCTTAAATCTTAGCGGCGGCATCGAGGCGCTCCTTGAATGGCGGTCCAGCAGCGCGACCTTCTTTCCGACCTTGGTTGAGAGAGGTTTGAGCAGATTCAACTGCCGCTGCATTTGGGCAGTGATTTGTATCTTCATGACGTTCTTCAAGACCGAGATGACATTGGTGGTCTGCGCGTAGAGCGGCGGCGCTGGGCTTTATTTATTAATTTAATGTATTTTTTATTCGTAAAATGTAGAGCAAAATTTAATTACTG